CTTCTGCTAGTCATGGTTCGGGGCATGGGGGTTACTATGAGCATGATGACCAATATCATGGTCAAAATTATTAAATCCTGACCATATATTTTAGTATAACTACGTTCGGATATCGGAAAGAAATATACATACTTATATTAATCTAATAAAACGGCGGGCATGATGCGAATAAATCGACCATGATTGCACACATACATGTACTTTACATAATAATATGAAGCGATATTATATTGTCTCAAATCTTCTTATTTGCTTAACTCTTCTTTTTACGTTTTGCACTATATAAAATCATATGAGTACTCCCCGAATAATATATACGATTTGTTTACTATAACATACTTATGTACGATGTTTGGGTTACATCAAAATAATTTCTTATGTATTGAAGAATATTAATTACACATGTATATAAATATAGTGTTTTAAACATATAGTGATACATATTTATAAGATAGTGTATATACATATATTATAAAATATAAAGTTTATTTAAAAGTGCACTTCTAAAAATGTCGTGTTTTAATTATAAAATAATAGAAGATCCGAACCACGCATATAGTAATTGAGATAGCAAAGTTAGATCATTCTTATCTTCCAACAATAATGTTTATAGTTCTAATTATACTATCTAAATCGTGACTTTAATAATATTTCTTGTGATATTTTTAATTACCGTTGAAAATTTGATATTAATTCAACTTGCGCTGAAGAATAAGAAGTGAACCTATTTTCAACTGATGATTATGTGATGAATAGAGCCCGCATTTTTAGGCTAAGTTTGGGTGAAACCGACCATCTTATAATCTTACAAATAGCAATAATCAAATGCTTTGAGGAGCTTTATGTTAAAAAATGCCGCAAAATAATAAAACATCCATTAGTCGGCGATCATGTAAATAAATTACAATCAAAATCACCTCAAAATAATCGAGTTAGATATTGGATTATATGATCAGGGTGATGAGTAGAGTTGAAATCTGAGTGACTGTCTGTGCAAGCGATAACTTATATAGAAGTTAAGATATCTTCATGGAACTTGGTACAAGTGTTTCTAGGCAAAAAAGTGAGGAGGAGATCGCAGATGGGGATAATCGCACCGCTTCCACGTCCACAAAACACCATTAAACGGAAACCTAAAAAGTGCCATATAATATGAAAGTTCTACACGAAACAATTGGAAATTTTACCAGCAGAGTTGGAACATAATTTTGCAAATGCCAAGGGTTTAACAAAAGAAATTAAACCATTCAATATCGTTATTTTTTTAAGGGATATTTATTTGCACCTCCACGTCGCGACGGAAACGATCGGCATAAAATAAACAAAATTGTAAAATTGAACTTTTATATTTGTGAAGATGTTCAATATTTCTGCATGCATAATATGTACCACATATAGTATATAATATTATATTTAGTACATATTTAAGGGATGGTGGGACTTTAAATTCAAAAGGAAGTAATAATAATGATACACAACAAATCCGAAGCTAAAGCAACAGGGGGAGGAATTATTATTATTATTGTACTTAAATTCACAAACTGGTTCAAATATGTTTTGCAAATCAACAAGAACGTGTTTTTGGAGTTATGACACTAGGGGTATTTAAGTATATGAGCAATATGTTCTTCGATTTTTATTTTTTAATTTAAATTCCTTTCTGCGTAAAAAATTGTAATTCTTATATCGTTCAAAAAATTCCTAAAACTCTGCAATGATTACAGCCTATCAAAATATATTAACGAGTATATGGAAGCATTCAAAAGGTTTGGAGTGATGTTATTTTGCAAAGTTTGTAATTAAAGTGCTAGCTGTGGAAGGAAATCTCTCATAAGAACACAAAAGCACAAGAGCTTTCTCAAAGCCCAGTTGACAAAATATAACAAGGATTTATTACGAATTCCGCATACAACAATAACTAGTTTTGCATAGATCTTTGTGAAAACTAACACCTATTCCTACTCAGTCAACTTTGAGGAAAAATGACATTAAGCGTCAATTGGAAAACTATTTTCTGTGGGTATCAATCGATGAAAGGACTCACGTACGAGCCCATTTTGTAGCAAAAATTATCGTGGGGACTTACATCAAAATACAAGGAAAGCCATAAGATTCGAATTTGATTTACTAAACGTTGAATGTACGAATTACTCCATAATCGCTCGGGCTTTGATGATTTCATGCAATTATTAGGTTCTAATTTTGAATAGTCAACAGTTTTTATATATGGCTCTGATGCAGCTCCATATAGGTTAAATCAGGAAAGGTGCTAAAGGTATTTTACCCAAAATTTACTGAAGGTTATTTTTGGGAATACGCAATATACCGAGTTGCTACAACTGATATAGATTCTGACAGAAAAGTACCCGGAAATAGCAAATAAAACACAAAATATTTAATTATTCATAATTAAACACCAGATGTAATACACATATGCCAACACTCTTCATAAGCAGCTTTTGGGATGGCTTTCAGCACATTCAGCTTTTTATACTCTCGCAACAAAGTTGCTAAAGAGAGTATTATAGTTTTGTTCACATAACGGTTGTTTGTAAGTCCTAACACCAAAAGTCAGATATGGGGTTATATATACCAAAGTGATCAGGGTGACGAGTAGAGTTGAAATCCGGATGTCTGTCTGTCCGTCTGTCCGTCCGTCCGTGCAAGCTGTAACTTGAGTAAAAATTGAGATATCATGATGAAACTTGGTACACGTATTTCTTGGCTCC